TTACACTCCTACCTCCCCATAACGGCCCTTGTCCTTCTGTTCCCAAGGTAGCCGCTGTGGAGAGGTTCGACAGTATCAGAAATCAATATCTGAAAGTACCTGGTTGAAGACTAGCTCGTATTAACGAAGTCGAAGTTATGCCATATGCTTTGCCAGCTTTGTGTTACTTTACCCATGCAGCCAGTGCGTGCTTCCCGCAGAAATAATTGTGAAAAACAACTCACTGATCGAATGACAAAACAATTATTGAACTGACGTTCAGAAAATACCGTGATTTTGCAATGTATTGCAGATCAGTTATTTGTCGACTCAGTAATGACAAATCATGATATTTTGCTCAGCTTCATCCAGTAATTGCTAATGGGCCATATTCGTATTCCCGGTGTTGGGCTGGAACTAGCATGTAACCGAGGTTAATGCGGGGAGTCTTTGCAAATGTAAATGACATCCCGGCCTGAAGCTTCATTGCAAGCTGGTTTCAGTCCAATGCCGAGAATGCTAATATGGCCGCTTGTTCGTTGCTATACGCTACTGTTTGTTTACATCCAAAGTCCCCAAATCCCATTTTTACGAGCTTGTTTTAACGCATTTAAATCACTAAGTTTGAGAACAGGGAAAACAGCACTGCTCTTGTAATTTCATTCTTTCCATCATCTTCTCCAGCACATTTGGCAGCTCCGATACTGAGATCATGTCGTTCCTCTGGATCAGTGGTTGATGTTGTAAAGTACAACATCCAGAATGTCCATTTTGTCCTGAGGAGTTTGAAAATCGCAAACGTTAATACCGCTACTCGCCCTAATAACAAGAAACTAGAATTTTTTACCTACCGACTTTTGGCTTTGGAGAGAAGCAAAGGTTGGCAAAAAGCGTCTTTTTTTGTTCGCTTACCGTACCTAAATTCGCCATTTAGCCAATCAGAAGCCGTAACTACCGTCTTGATATCCTCCGATATCAGGAGCCATAATCGATTATGGCTCCTGCCGATATCAAGTCACTGACCTGAGATGGCTACGATATTAGCCTGCGAACAGGCTCCCGGTGAGCCCGAACGAACCCTGTCCCCGCCCCGATCATTCTTCTGTTTCGCGCTCGCCGAAATTTTTTCCCGTCCTCGCCGGGAGCCTGTTCGCAGGCTACTACGATATCATGGCCACTGTTAAGTAAATTAATCAAAAATTCCCTACCAGCTAAGAGTTGGACAATCGTCAACTTCGCGATGTTTGCCCAAACTATTAAAACTTTTTGTTTCTAAAATGGAGCCAGAGTTTTCTTTCTACATTTCTCCCTAAATAGTAAACTGCACAAAACTTAGAAGTAAAATTATTTCATTGATCATTTTTGCACCGTTTTGTTGAAACTGACTCCTGACTCATGACTGTACTGTGAAGGTGTTTGGTTATCTGTACATGCCCGAAAATGATCCCGGGACCGCAAATGACCCACAAATTCTTCGTCTTCTCCTCAGTTTTGGTTTCGATTGAGAATTTTGACCAGTCCGCAAACGACAAGATATGGGACACTGGGAACGAAGGAAGGGTAGCGCGCGCGAAACACGCGCGGAGCTCGACAGAAAACGAGGAGATCTGGTAATGAAAGAGTTGTGACAGGAAGAGATGCAAGATGGCGGCCGGGATTCGACCATCTTCTGGTCACTCCCATGGCCATCCTCACAACCACGCCATGCCGAGACGGAAAGTCACCATATCGTTTGTGATAAGAGACGAAGAAGAACCTCTTCACCGGTCAGGGGTGAACGCACTTCAACTAGACCAACATACTGGTCGGTTATATTCTGCAGGACGAGACTCCATCATTCGATGTTGGAATACAAATGTGGACAAGGTGTGAATTGTAGTGTTCTTGGATGATAATAACACTTAGGTTTACCTTGTTGGAAGCTGTGGTTGCTAATCTAGTTATTAGTTAAGTCATGCAATGTTTGTTATGAGTCTCTGCAGTCTTTTGTTTCATTTTCCAGTTGAATGAGTGGCTCAGCGTATTCTGTATTGTTTACGCTCATAAATGATTTCAGCCTTAACTCAACTTGTTGCATGTACATTGTATGTAGGCAATCTTTGAGTGCCTTGTTTACCCAGTAAAACCCTGGTAGAGGGCAAAATTAAAACTAGTGTTCAGCATATTATCAAAAACGCGTTGTTTCAAGTGAAGTACGTAGTTTTAAATATGCATGCCATGACAGATGTTAAGTTTAAGTCATGTTATCTCCTCATGAGCGTAAAAAGATAATTTGTGAAATTGGGTAGAGATGACAAAATGATAGCTTCTATAAATATTAGCTATAGCAAATATGTAAAGAACATGTTGAAAATTGAGCAAAAATTTTCTGTTGAAAAAAAGATAAATTTATCGTGTGATGCATGTTTGTATGGCTTTGTGTTGAAGAGTTGCCATCCAACCATATAAATGCCTGTAAAAACTGTTGTATTCTGGTGGAAGATTTAGAACAATATCCTTTGAACTTGGCAAAATGACTTAATGTTGCATGCTCTCTCTTGTCATGTTATCTTTGTTTTAATTTTGGTTAATTGCTAAATTTGAGATGTAAACAAACATGTCATCAAGGATTACCCTGTTTCTCCTAATACCCTGAGTTATTGGAAGTGGGTTTGTAACAGAGACTGGGAGGAAGGGGGCGGGGGGAGTGGTGGGGCGGTCCGGGTGGGGACAGAGGTGGGAGGCACTTTCCTTTTCGGCCTGAACAGGGATGTGCCCCCTGGGTTAGGTTTAGATAATTTTTTGTTGTAAGAAGGGAAAAAGGTGTATTGAACATGATAGATGTATATACATGGGTTTCGTGTAAAGTCTTGAACAATATTAATATAGAAATTATGTATGGGTGGTTGACCAAGCTTTTGGTCAAGATCACTGGATATTGTTCTTTTGCTGCATGTTTATGGACCAAGACAGAGTCAAGGTCCATAAACTCCTAAAAAGAAGAAACTGATGTCTTTTGTGAAAAATATTCCACTGAAGATTTTGCAGTCAGTTGCAAAATTGCTGCAATAGAGGTGGCATAGGTTATTTGAATTCCTTTTATACATTACAAATCCCGTGTACCATTTAATTCTGTTGGTTGTGAACCATTCTCGTGTGTCCCCAGAATAGTTCCTTTGGACCTAATAATAAATTATACCCTTCCTATGTAACAAAGTAGATCGTGATATCTTCTGCAAAATTTAATGACTGTTTTATTTGAAGAAGCTGAGTTAATGTAAATTTGGTTCTGCCTTCTGGTTTCAGAACTGCTACATAGCATCTTTAGAACACCATACAGACTGGGTGAATGATATTGTTCTTTGCTGTAATGGTAAAACAAGTAAGTGATTTTGTTGTCTTTGTACAGGCTGTGATATCTTTTAAAGTTGATTGCCTATTTTTAAATTTTCACTTTCCAGTAGGGGTACTAATACATTTCTATTTACCTCCAAAGTACATGATTAAGTGACTCAGGTCATGAAATTCTCACTGACAATAATGAAATCAAATAAAAATACACTTTAATTACTATTCTAGGTAATTAGTTTTTACTGCTTTGTCCTGGAATTTACATTACCTACATGTACCTTGTGCTCCACTGCAGATAACTCAACATACCTGCAAGTGCCTGAACTAACATTATAAAATAAATATTATTATTTTTTTAGTATTGTCTGCATCATCTGACACAACTGTCAAAGTGTGGGATTCAGGGCGGAGTTTCTGTATGTCTACCTTGCGCACACATAAGGACTATGTAAAGGCACTGGCTTATGCCAGCCATAGAGAACTGGTGGCCTCTGGAGGACTCGACCGACAGATTTTTCTTTGGGATGTCAACACTTTAACAGCTCTCACAGCCACAAATAACACTGTCACAAGTAAGTTACAGTAATGGCATTCCTTCTGTTTTGAAAGGCGGGATGCCCTCATGGTTAGTGCACTCGTGTCTAGATCAAAAGGTCTGAATTTGGACCCTGGCTGGGGTCTTTGATGTGCCATACTCTCACATTGCCTCTCTCCACCCAGGTGTATATCTAGAGGCTACTCTATGGAAAATGAGCGTGTACAATTTTTATTCATGAGGTCGATAAAAACAATGCACAAGGGAAAGCAAATGAGTTAGTTTTCTGAAACGGCTCAATGAGTAGATAAGAATTATCCAAAGTATTTTCCATAGACTAAGTGTAAATTGTTTCTTTGAAGATCCTAATGCCTTGCAAAAACTGGCCACCTTACCCCACAATGATGATGGTCTGTATTCTTTTCCTTCCTTTGTATGGATACTTAATGTAATTTTTACTTTCTTGTTTGTTAATATTGACTCATTTTCTTCTGATCAGCTTCATCACTGAATGGTCAAAAAGATTCTATTTACAGTCTTGCTCTTAATAGCATGGGGACTGTGCTTGTCTCTGGCTCAACTGAAAAGGTAAGTCACTCAGTAGTAAAACAGCCAACTAGGCATACACTGTACATGTTACATAACTCAGTGGCTATGAGTCGAGGAATGGCTCGATTTCATGGCATAAATTCAATAAACATAAGGGCAATCTACATGATTAGGGTTTCAAAATGAAGTACATGTGCTTTTGTTTTGCAAGATTTTGAGGGTGTGGGATCCTCGAACATGCTCAAAAGTCATGAAACTAAAAGGCCATGTAGACAACGTGAAGTCAATTGTCATCAATTCTGAAGGAACCCAGGTGAGACATTTTTTGAGGAGATTCTTAACTTAGATATTGTTCCCTGGCTTTAAAATGCATTGCAAAAACTTCCAGAATTCCAGACATAGTTTTTCACTGTTTTTATGGCTGCATGATTTTGTCTTGTTGTGCAATACTGTGTTATTTCTGTTAGACTCTTGCACAGATCTCTTTGTTGAGAAGGTGGTCATGGGGATGATGTTGCTATTCCTTATCAGAGGTCAAAAAAGAGTTGTAGACTAGGACATCCTGTGAACCTGCCCAATGTGCAACAAATTAAAACTTAGTTTTGGAACTTAACAATGAACTTTTTGCCTTTACGAAATTCTTATCGTAGGAATAGGTCATATTTGTATTCTCAGTATTGGACGGCACTAGCTTGCAATGGAGGCTCGTGCGAGGGAACATCGTTAAAAGGAGAAAAACGTCATTTGCATTTGAAAAGATTCCCTGCATTAGCCTCAGTTGCAAGCTAGTTCCAGTCCAATACTGGGAATACAAATGGGTCTATTATATCTCAGGTCCTACATAGATGCTTATTACCCTACATGTAATAGTAATATGTGGAGAACAACTCAGGGAGTAATCAGACAAGTCATTTCAGAATTGGTAGAACAAGCAGCACTAGGCTGATTTGAAACTATTAGCACTGTTACTTTCTGAATTTTGCGACTTGAGGTCCAATTGCTAATTAACCACTAATATCAAAAACAAACCTACAGATTGAGCAGTCTTTTAGAACTTTCTCCAAGTGTTCGTAAAGGGTCAATAATGTTTTCCCCAAGTTTTACAAACCATAGGGAAACATTAAGTGAATTGTAATTGGATACCTGTAATTGGGCCCCAAAATGATCATGTGTCAATCAACTGGCAATCAAAAATTTTGGAAAAGATACAGGGTCTCATAACACTGTCATGGGGTCAGAAGTCATAGGAACAGTGGTTTTAATCCTTTGGTTATATGTTTTTTTTTTCAATTTATTCTTATATCCTAGTGTCTGTCTGGAGGCTCAGATGGAACAGTGCGTCTTTGGTCGTTAGGCCAACAGAGATGCATCACCACATACAGAATTCATGGCGAAGGCGTGTGGGCATTGTGTGCTAATGATAACTTTACTGGATTCTATTCAAGTGGTCGAGACAAACACATCATGTGGACTGACTTGAGCCTAGACAATTCTTCCACTCTCCTGTTTGTAGAGGATGCACCAGTTTTAAAAGTTAGTATTGTTAAGGATACATCAAATAAGAACAGGAATTGGCAAGAGATGAGAGTTTCCCAAAAATAAACTCTGCAACTTTGTAAAATTCTCAAGGAATTGCTTGTGTTATGATGATCAATTTGAGTTTATTATAGAACTCTTTAAAGTGTCCACACTCTTTCTTGTGTCTCTTATTGAGTGAAGTGCAGAAAAGAATTAGTAAACTTTCTCCTTGTGTATATTTGCTGGGTTTTCCAAGCAGTTGTGAATTGTGAACAACACTCCAGAAGGGTGAGAAACACTCAGCTCAGCCAGATTCTTCTTATTGTGTTTTAGAAAAAAACTTTTTTCATACATAATAATGTAACTTGACAGCTGAAGCACTTGGGCATGTTAGCTAATGTATTCTAACTTTTATTAATAATTGGCCAAGAAGAGTCCAAGAAGTCAAGTCAAAGAGGAGAAAGACTTGAACTCATCATCAATTCTTATTTACATTCTTGTTTACATTAATACATGTAGTTTTAATGACTAACTTGGCTAGCAATCTTGCTGTCATTGAAATTTACATTCCATTCTTCTCTATTTCAGCTGGAGCTCTGTCATGATCCCCATTCTCTTTGGGTTGCTACAACAAATTCTACAATAAATAACTGGGTAAGGATATAAGAAGACCAATACCACTAAGTCCACAATTTTGATTGGTTGTAAAAACTCATTGAAAATTGCTTAGAGAATAAACTATCATTAGATGATATCCTGAGTAGCATTTATACAACACTTCTATCAGTGATGTGTGGAGGCACAGTGGCCTTGTGGTTAGTGTTCTGACCGTGGACATTATCTTGTGTTCTTAGGCAAGACACTTTACTATCACTGTGCCTCTCTCCACCCAGGTGTATAAATGGGAACCAGTGACTTTAATTTTGGGGGAGCCCTTTGATGGACTAGCATCTCATCCAAGAGAGGGGGGTGGGAGGGAAGGAATAGAAATACTCCTATTTACAGAAACTAAAGATAAGCACCGACCTGATGAGCCACCTTGCTTATATGCAGACTTTACATTATACCTTTTACATGTACCTTAGCTCTAGTGGTAAATGTTTTAATACATTAATCCTTTTAATTGTACACCTATGGCAATGGCAAAAAAAGATGGCAAAGCTATGTATTGCGCTGCTGAAAACCTTCTAGAAGGCTTGTGTATTTATTAAGTAACAGAGATTTATTCCTTTTAAAATCTTTTGCAGCCAATCAAGATCCCATATATGAATGATAATGATAACATGGATGTTGGTGATTCCGATCCTCAGCCAACTTGTTTATCACCAAGAAAAACATTACCAGGTACTGTACTACATGTATAATAGGAATTGCTATGAACATTTTTTCTGTATTAATTTCAACATCTATTGCTTGGCTTACGAGTTATTTATTGGTAGCTTAAACAGAGCAATTGCTGATTGTTTGAGACCCTAGGTCACCCCTGAATATCTTCATGTAAGGCATCAAACTACAGCCAGTTCATGTAGAACTTTTTCCACCAAAATAGCTAGAAACAAGAAACAAGTTGTGAAAATCTACTTGCTTCATGCTAACTTAAAAGTGTCTTTTTGTTTTGTTTCAGGGGCTCCTAGCATACGGAAATTCCATGTACTAAGAGACAGGAGACATGTTATAACAAAAGACTCAGAAGACAAGGTTACTGTCTGGGATATTCTAAAAGTAAGGATATTTTCATTTAGTAGTGTTTTATGTATTTTCTGTTTTGTTTTATTTCCTTATCAATACCATTTGCAAGTTGCAAATATACTTTTACTCATAATATTTCTTTTCATGAGTTCAGACTGGTGAATGAGTGATACCTAGAAAATCTTGGGTCTTGGAAACTTTGATCTGGTCTTGAAACCTTGCAAACCTTTTTTTAAACTTTTTTATTTCAACCCTTTGTGATGAGTCACAAAAGTCTCGTTTTTGTGTGCTTTGTTTTTTTTCTGGAAGTTTAAAAGAAGGTTTTTAGTGTCTTGGCGAGTCTCAGATTTTACCATGACATAGCTCTGCCGAGATCCATGGTGGTCTTTGATTGGAAGATACTTGCATGTGAGAGATCAAACCTGAGTAATGGCTAATCCAAGATAGTACATCATGGTTCCCTGTAAAACCTCATCACAAGAACATTGGAAATTTTTAATGTAAATCTCACGTGTCTCACAAGTGGGGGAATTAAGACCAATGTTGATTTACTTAAGCTTTGCTTTTTTGTTGGGTGAACATATAAGTTAAACTTTGCTTGTTTCAGGCATGTAAGGTAGAGGAGCTTGGTGTGGTGGATTACGAGGAAGAAATCAAGAAAAGAACTCAGATGATTTTTGTACCTAATTGGTTTGCAGTTGACATCAAGACGGGAGTGAGTCTGCTTCTGTTGTTTACATATATTTCCTTCCATAGCCATCTCACGAGGCCATATTTTGCCTGACAAAATAAGTTAAATATCTGGTCATTGAAATGCTAAATTTCTTGTCAGAGAGAGAAAGAAAGTTGGGGAATTTTATGGTAGGGTTTATTTTGGTTTTGGGATAAAAGCGCTTGTCACTGGAGTGTTGAAAGTAATTCGCATTGCTTTGGTTTTGTGTCACAATGCTACGCGATTGGCCGAAAAAACTCGTGCCACTTTGTCATTCAATCACACGTAAAACCAAAACCAATCGGGGATCGTTGGCACATGTTTTCCCGCGCTGTTCGTCAGCTACTTGTATACGTATTGACTTCGAGTTTTGATTGGTTGGCTGGATTGTCTGTGTCCTTTGTAATTGGTCAGAGTAATTACTGTTTTTGTTTTTAAGACTCCCAATAGACCTTTCCCGTATTCCAACTAACAATAGCGCTAAGTCGAGGTCAGGGTGGACAAAAATACCGCAAATGTATGAAAATGTCCACCCCAACCTCGCTCTGGTGCTATTGTTCGAACGCACTGAAGTGGAATGCGGGAAAGGTGTATTGAAAACTGCTCCATTCGTGAGCATGTTTTGCTATTTTCTCTAAACTTGTTTGTTTGAAAAAGAAATAAATCTAAATCTAAAGCGTAGTCAGCCTTGGTTTAGTCAGTGGAAGTATTTTTCCTAATTCTGGGGAATCGGGAAAATACGTGTTGGCAACCCTAAATTGGGAAGATCTATTTAGTTCTGAAAAAAAAAAAAAACTAACTAAGTATGTGTACAGTGTATGATGCATTTCATTTCCTTTATTACAGATGCTCACAATAAATCTGGAGGAGAGTGACTGTTTTGCAGCGTGGATTTCAGTAACTGATGTTCCAGGCTTAGAACCAAAAGTTGTTGATGGAAAAGGTGTGTTTTGACGATCAATGGATTCGACAATTGTTTCCTATACATTAACACTTCTGTTTTTATGTTTGAGCTGTTTAATTTCTGATTGAGAAGGTTTACATATTTGTATTTTTGCTGTCCCTTGTGTTGTAGTGTATGCCACGGATGTCAAACATGGTGAGTTATCCCATTCTCGAGGCTCCGTCCTCACTACGCCGGAGAAATTTGAAAACGCAGCCTTATTTCTACGACTATGTCTACCATCCACGTTAATCCGTGGCGAAAACGAAGCTCTTCTAATACGCTGTTCAAACCGGAGGAATCTGAAAACGTCGGCTTTGCGTTTTAGTGTCGGCGGAAAACATTTTGAAAACGGAGCTTTTCGAAAATGATGACGTCATTTTCTGTCCGGGTTTTCTTCAAACACAAATCCAAAATGGACGGTGATTGTTACGTTTTCAAAGTTCTCCGGCGTGCTGTGGACGCGGGTTTTAAACGTGTCACATGTGTAGTACCATTCTGTTTCTCAGTTTTCCCTGACTAACGCCCGATACGTGCGTAATTTTAAGTTGGTTATGCATTTTTAGACGTGAAAAAATCGCACGCGAAGTGGTCATCAAAAGAAAATCAAAACTGTCTAAACATAACGATATGAAACACAAAACAAAGTCCTACAGCTAGGAACTGAACAGTCTTTCAGAGTATTGTACTGATTTAAAATACAAGGCAACTCACTACAGTACTGAGGGGCTTAACAAAATGAAGAAATTATATTTAAAAAAGTTCGAAAACTTAAATTAAGGCTCAGCTGCATAATGTATATTCGAAGCTTGTATCTTAGATTTTGGGGGCTTTATTTTCAAAAATGTGAGGCACGGACTGGGTCTCATAGAGATTTTACCTTACTGGCGCAATAGTTTATATAATGAATTTGTTGTTGTCTGTTTTGTGCAGTGAATTATGGAGTACTTCTACTGCAAGCGATCTTGGAACACTGGCCCGAGACATTCTCAGGAACAGTTGACGATGCTGATCAAGACTTGCCAAGAGCTGATTCTCCAGGTCTGTCAGTGTTTCCTGCTAAAGTATTATAAAAATGCCAAACACTTCACCTAAAACTGATCATTGCCCACATGTTAGGTTGTTAGGGGTACAAGAAACTTTTCTCTTCAGAATCCAGTTTAGGGTGTTTGGGTTGTTCTGTGATTGGACAATGCAAGAATGGTAAACATGTTGGTTGTTATTTGTAGACTGATTGACAAAGTTTGACAACAAGCAGTCTCGCTTCCTTAGTTCGAGCGAGCGCTAGTTTGTCCATGAACGAAGACTGTCGATCACTCTGATAGTATAGGGGTGAAGATGACAAATTATCACTCGATGTGGTATTTAAGTACATTCGTTTTATCCCTAAGAGATAATGGAAGACTCTGTTTGTTTCCGTAGAAGATGGAGATGCCAGTGCTAGTGAAGTCAATCTCAACCTTGAATCTGTAAGTATTTCACGGGTTGCGGGAGGGGAACACGAGTGCATGTCCTCGAAACGGCGAAATTGGAATGAAGTCTGAATTGGAATTTGTGTCTTTCAAGGTATAGGGACTTTCGAATGAAGGTCCAAAACCGGCTAAAACGCGGTGAAAAAACAGCGATATGCATTTTTTTTNTATCAGAGGTCAAAAAAGAGTTGTAGACTAGGACATCCTGTGAACCTGCCCAATGTGCAACAAATTAAAACTTAGTTTTGGAACTTAACAATGAACTTTTTGCCTTTACGAAATTCTTATCGTAGGAATAGGTCATATTTGTATTCTCAGTATTGGACGGCACTAGCTTGCAATGGAGGCTCGTGCGAGGGAACATCGTTAAAAGGAGAAAAACGTCATTTGCATTTGAAAAGATTCCCTGCATTAGCCTCAGTTGCAAGCTAGTTCCAGTCCAATACTGGGAATACAAATGGGTCTATTATATCTCAGGTCCTACATAGATGCTTATTACCCTACATGTAATAGTAATATGTGGAGAACAACTCAGGGAGTAATCAGACAAGTCATTTCAGAATTGGTAGAACAAGCAGCACTAGGCTGATTTGAAACTATTAGCACTGTTACTTTCTGAATTTTGCGACTTGAGGTCCAATTGCTAATTAACCACTAATATCAAAAACAAACCTACAGATTGAGCAGTCTTTTAGAACTTTCTCCAAGTGTTCGTAAAGGGTCAATAATGTTTTCCCCAAGTTTTACAAACCATAGGGAAACATTAAGTGAATTGTAATTGGATACCTGTAATTGGGCCCCAAAATGATCATGTGTCAATCAACTGGCAATCAAAAATTTTGGAAAAGATACAGGGTCTCATAACACTGTCATGGGGTCAGAAGTCATAGGAACAGTGGTTTTAATCCTTTGGTTATATGTTTTTTTTTTCAATTTATTCTTATATCCTAGTGTCTGTCTGGAGGCTCAGATGGAACAGTGCGTCTTTGGTCGTTAGGCCAACAGAGATGCATCACCACATACAGAATTCATGGCGAAGGCGTGTGGGCATTGTGTGCTAATGATAACTTTACTGGATTCTATTCAAGTGGTCGAGACAAACACATCATGTGGACTGACTTGAGCCTAGACAATTCTTCCACTCTCCTGTTTGTAGAGGATGCACCAGTTTTAAAAGTTAGTATTGTTAAGGATACATCAAATAAGAACAGGAATTGGCAAGAGATGAGAGTTTCCCAAAAATAAACTCTGCAACTTTGTAAAATTCTCAAGGAATTGCTTGTGTTATGATGATCAATTTGAGTTTATTATAGAACTCTTTAAAGTGTCCACACTCTTTCTTGTGTCTCTTATTGAGTGAAGTGCAGAAAAGAATTAGTAAACTTTCTCCTTGTGTATATTTGCTGGGTTTTCCAAGCAGTTGTGAATTGTGAACAACACTCCAGAAGGGTGAGAAACACTCAGCTCAGCCAGATTCTTCTTATTGTGTTTTAGAAAAAAACTTTTTTCATACATAATAATGTAACTTGACAGCTGAAGCACTTGGGCATGTTAGCTAATGTATTCTAACTTTTATTAATAATTGGCCAAGAAGAGTCCAAGAAGTCAAGTCAAAGAGGAGAAAGACTTGAACTCATCATCAATTCTTATTTACATTCTTGTTTACATTAATACATGTAGTTTTAATGACTAACTTGGCTAGCAATCTTGCTGTCATTGAAATTTACATTCCATTCTTCTCTATTTCAGCTGGAGCTCTGTCATGATCCCCATTCTCTTTGGGTTGCTACAACAAATTCTACAATAAATAACTGGGTAAGGATATAAGAAGACCAATACCACTAAGTCCACAATTTTGATTGGTTGTAAAAACTCATTGAAAATTGCTTAGAGAATAAACTATCATTAGATGATATCCTGAGTAGCATTTATACAACACTTCTATCAGTGATGTGTGGAGGCACAGTGGCCTTGTGGTTAGTGTTCTGACCGTGGACATTATCTTGTGTTCTTAGGCAAGACACTTTACTATCACTGTGCCTCTCTCCACCCAGGTGTATAAATGGGAACCAGTGACTTTAATTTTGGGGGAGCCCTTTGATGGACTAGCATCTCATCCAAGAGAGGGGGGTGGGAGGGAAGGAATAGAAATACTCCTATTTACAGAAACTAAAGATAAGCACCGACCTGATGAGCCACCTTGCTTATATGCAGACTTTACATTATACCTTTTACATGTACCTTAGCTCTAGTGGTAAATGTTTTAATACATTAATCCTTTTAATTGTACACCTATGGCAATGGCAAAAAAAGATGGCAAAGCTATGTATTGCGCTGCTGAAAACCTTCTAGAAGGCTTGTGTATTTATTAAGTAACAGAGATTTATTCCTTTTAAAATCTTTTGCAGCCAATCAAGATCCCATATATGAATGATAATGATAACATGGATGTTGGTGATTCCGATCCTCAGCCAACTTGTTTATCACCAAGAAAAACATTGCCAGGTACTGTACTACATGTATAATAGGAATTGCTATAAACATTTTTCTGTATTAATTTCAACATCTATTGCTTGGCTTACGAGTTATTTATTGGTAGCTTAAACAGAGCAATTGCTGATTGTTTGAGACCCTAGGTCACCCCTGAATATCTTCATGTAAGGCATCAAACTACAGCCAGTTCATGTAGAACTTTTTCCACCAAAATAGCTAGAAACAAGAAACAAGTTGTGAAAATCTACTTGCTTCATGCTAACTTAAAAGTGTCTTTTTGTTTTGTTTCAGGGGCTCCTAGCATACGGAAATTCCATGTACTAAGAGACAGGAGACATGTTATAACAAAAGACTCAGAAGACAAGGTTACTGTCTGGGATATTCTAAAAGTAAGAATATTTTCATTTAGTAGTGTTTTATGTATTTTCTGTTTTGTTTTATTTCCTTATCAATACCATTTGCAAGTTGCAAATATACTTTTACTCATAATATTTCTTTTCATGAGTTCAGACTGGTGAATGAGTGATACCTAGAAAATCTTGGGTCTTGGAAACTTTGATCTGGTCTTGAAACCTTGCAAACCTTTTTTTAAACTTTTTTATTTCAACCCTTTGTGATGAGTCACAAAAGTCTCGTTTTTGTGTGCTTTGTTTTTTTTCTGGAAGTTTAAAAGAAGGTTTTTAGTATCTTGGCGAGTCTCAGATTTTACCATGACATAGCTCTGCCGAGATCCATGGTGGTCTTTGATTGGAAGATACTTGCATGTGAGAGATCAAACCTGAGTAATGGCTAATCCAAGATAGTACATCATGGTTCCCTGTAAAACCTCATCACAAGAACATTGGAAATTTTTAATGTAAATCTCACGTGTCTCACAAGTGGGGGAATTAAGACCAATGTTGATTTACTTAAGCTTTGCTTTTTTGTTGGGTGAACATATAAGTTAAACTTTGCTTGTTTCAGGCATGTAAGGTAGAGGAGCTTGGTGTGGTGGATTACGAGGAAGAAATCAAGAAAAGAACTCAGATGATTTTTGTACCTAATTGGTTTGCAGTTGACATCAAGACGGGAGTGAGTCTGCTTCTGTTGTTTACATATATTTCCTTCCATAGCCATCTCACGAGGCCATATTTTGCCTGACAAAATAAGTTAAATATCTGGTCATTGAAATGCTAAATTTCTTGTCAGAGAGAGAAAGAAAGTTGGGGAATTTTATGGTAGGGTTTATTTTGGTTTTGGGATAAAAGCGCTTGTCACTGGAGTGTTGAAAGTAATTCGCATTGCTTTGGTTTTGTGTCACAATGCTACGCGATTGGCCGAAAAAACTCGTGCCACTTTGTCATTCAATCACACGTAAAACCAAAACCAATCGGGGATCGTTGGCACATGTTTTCCCGCGCTGTTCGTCAGCTACTTGTATACGTATTGACTTCGAGTTTTGATTGGTTGGCTGGATTGTCTGTGTCCTTTGTAATTGGTCAGAGTAATTACTGTTTTTGTTTTTAAGACTCCCAATAGACCTTTCCCGTATTCCAACTAACAATAGCGCTAAGTCGAGGTCAGGGTGGACAAAAATACCGCAAATGTATGAAAATGTCCACCCCAACCTCGCTCTGGTGCTATTGTTCGAACGCACTGAAGTGGAATGCGGGAAAGGTGTATTGAAAACTGCTCCATTCGTGAGCATGTTTTGCTATTTTCTCTAAACTTGTTTGTTTGAAAAAGAAATAAATCTAAATCTAAAGCGTAGTCAGCCTTGGTTTAGTCAGTGGAAGTATTTTTCCTAATTCTGGGGAATCGGGAAAATACGTGTTGGCAACCCTAAATTGGGAAGATCTATTTAGTTCTGAAAAAAAAAAAAAACTAACTAAGTATGTGTACAGTGTATGATGCATTTCATTTCCTTTATTACAGATGCTCACAATAAATCTGGAGGAGAGTGACTGTTTTGCAGCGTGGATTTCAGTAACTGATGTTCCAGGCTTAGAACCAAAAGTTGTTGATGGAAAAGGTGTGTTTTGACGATCAATGGATTCGACAATTGTTTCCTATACATTAACACTTCTGTTTTTATGTTTGAGCTGTTTAATTTCTGATTGAGAAGGTTTACATATTTGTATTTTTGCTGTCCCTTGTGTTGTAGTGTATGCCACGGATGTCAAACATGGTGAGTTATCCCATTCTCGAGGCTCCGTCCTCACTACGCCGGAGAAATTTGAAAACGCAGCCTTATTTCTACGACTATGTCTACCATCCACGTTAATCCGTGGCGAAAACGAAGCTCTTCTAATACGCTGTTCAAACCGGAGGAATCTGAAAACGTCGGCTTTGCGTTTTAGTGTCGGCGGAAAACATTTTGAAAACGGAGCTTTTCGAAAATGATGACGTCATTTTCTGTCCGGGTTTTCTTCAAACACAAATCCAAAATGGACGGTGATTGTTACGTTTTCAAAGTTCTCCGGCGTGCTGTGGACGCGGGTTTTAAACGTGTCACATGTGTAGTACCATTCTGTTTCTCAGTTTTCCCTGACTAACGCCCGATACGTGCGTAATTTTAAGTTGGTTATGCATTTTTAGACGTGAAAAAATCGCACGCGAAGTGGTCATCAAAAGAAAATCAAAACTGTCTAAACATAACGATATGAAACACAAAACAAAGTCCTACAGCTAGGAACTGAACAGTCTTTCAGAGTATTGTACTGATTTAAAATACAAGGCAACTCACTACAGTACTGAGGGGCTTAACAAAATGAAGAAATTATATTTAAAAAAGTTCGAAAACTTAAATTAAGGCTCAGCTGCATAATGTATATTCGAAGCTTGTATCTTAGATTTTGGGGGCTTTATTTTCAAAAATGTGAGGCACGGACTGGGTCTCATAGAGATTTTACCTTACTGGCGCAATAGTTTATATAATGAATTTGTTGTTGTCTGTTTTGTGCAGTGAATTATGGAGTACTTCTACTGCAAGCGATCTTGGAACACTGGCCCGAGACATTCTCAGGAACAGTTGACGATGCTGATCAAGACTTGCCAAGAGCTGATTCTCCAGGTCTGTCAGTGTTTCCTGCTAAAGTATTATAAAAATGCCAAACACTTCACCTAAAACTGATCATTGCCCACATGTTAGGTTGTTAGGGGTACAAGAAACTTTTCTCTTCAGAATCCAGTTTAGGGTGTTTGGGTTGTTCTGTGATTGGACAATGCAAGAATGGTAAACATGTTGGTTGTTATTTGTAGACTGATTGACAAAGTTTGACAACAAGCAGTCTCGCTTCCTTAGTTCGAGCGAGCGCTAGTTTGTCCATGAACGAAGACTGTCGATCACTCTGATAGTATAGGGGTGAAGATGACAAATTATCACTCGATGTGGTATTTAAGTACATTCGTTTTATCCCTAAGAGATAATGGAAGACTCTGTTTGTTTCCGTAGAAGATGGAGATGCCAGTGCTAGTGAAGTCAATCTCAACCTTGAATCTGTAAGTATTTCACGGGTTGCGGGAGGGGAACACGAGTGCATGTCCTCGAAACGGCGAAATTGGAATGAAGTCTGAATTGGAATTTGTGTCTTTCAAGGTATAGGGACTTTCGAATGAAGGTCCAAAACCGGCTAAAACGCGGTGAAAAAACAGCGATATGCATTTTTTTTTCGATTTCCATATCACGCTCTTATGTAGATTCCATGAAGGAAATAAAAAAAGATATCCGTCATGTACACTTTAACTTGGGCCGCTAGTTCACTTTTAAGTGAAAATTAAAATTAAAAATTAAAATTCCAGCGATATCAACGCCGTGACGTCACTATTGGATTTTTTTTTTTAACAGCGTATAATGACAGGGAATGGTTTCTTCAGTGTTCCCGAGCACACTCCGCTGATCTTCACTGAGAGTAGTGGCACGGGAAGAACTCTGTTCAGACTGCTGGTCTCTGACGCCTCTGGAGAGAATGAAGGATATCTGCTGGCTGAGACTGTGCCTAACTGGGCTGTAGACGTCACTGTCAAGGTATTAACAGAGTACGCGCTTCAACCACATTATGAAGTCAATTTTCTTTACCCTTTGCGAGTTCTGGTAAAGGGGATGGGAAAATATTTCATTTAGTTTCATCAAAAGACGCGATTAGAGCGAAGACTTCTTCCAACTACTTTATTCTTGAGCTCGCTTTTCATCTATTTGTTTTTTCTGTCTTTATTTCTGTAGAAACTCTCACCGAAATTCAACAAGATAGCATTCTTCTTACAAGCTCATTCGTCGAGCTCATCCAAGGCGTTAAAGAGGTAAAGTATGCTTTGCATTGTCCTTTCTTCAATCCTTTATTTATTTCTTAAGAAACATCGTGGAAACTAAGCATCAGCTCTCAGTGCAAGGAGGATGAGATGGTCTGATTAACTACTGTGAGTTATGATTGGTCACCGTTAGTGGTTTTCAAAGCGACCATTGGCCAATCACAGCTTCCTGTACCTTTGGTATATCTGAGATTTTGTTCTAAAATTATCCGCTCAAATATATCAACCCAACTAGTTTCGAGACGCAAATCATAAGCCTTTTCAACCTCCAATCATAAGCCTTTTCAACCTTATCTCGAAAATAATACGTTTACTCTATGTTAACGCAATTTTGATTATTTTCAAAGGGACCGCCTCTCAGCTAGCGACATGTTGCACGTGCGTAAAGTTATCGAGCACGTGTACGAGAAAGTGGTGGGTAACGAGAACAACAGCAATTCAGGTAACCACGCCGATAAAGAACAGGCCGGACCACCAAGCGAGGAAGAACTTGAGGAATTTGGAGCTTTGGCTGAGGCTCGGGTCGAGCTCCTTTGTCACGAACAGGTCAGTTTTGATTGTCTTGAGGATTCGTGAATCAGAGTTTATCTTTCCTCCATCTCGTATGTCTGTCTGACTCAAACAGACAACGACAAACAGATGGGCAGACAGCAGACAGACAGTCAGACAGACAGACAGACAGACAGACAGACAGACAGACGGAGAGTAAATCGAAATCCTCGTGACTCAGTCAGTTGGCCATCCGGTCAGTAGGTCGGACAGTTGGTCGGACAGGGTTCATTTCTTCAGTTTTGTTGTGCTCTCAGCCAGTTTGTTTATCTCCCATTTGCCTTATGATGTTTTTACTTAGTTTACTCTCCGAGTTGGTATTTAAATTTTGAATGTGTAAACGTAACCCATCGAAAGTCTATGTTTCCTTATAAACTTGACGCCATAAGACAACTCGTTCACTGTTAAAGTGTGCGCTTAGGGTTTTTACCTCGATTTTGCATTTTTGTAGGTTCTGGACCCGAATATGGACCTAAGGACCGTGCGCCATTTTATTTGGAAAGGGGGAGGGGACCTGGTACTGCAGTATCGAATAATGAAGTAGAGACCCATGCCCCAGGTTCCTAAATATGGCCCTGCTTCAAATATGTTACAGAAGACTGGGAAGAGGTTAACTCGCTATAAAGAGAGCTATGACATCAGAGTTAATGGAAGAGTGGGCTTTAAGTTTGAAATGAGCCAGGATGACGAGAGGTTCTCTTTCTTGGATGCCGACGGAGGTGGTGTGTCTAAGACTTGAGATATCATCAGATATTTATTACATTCCGACGTTCGCTTGTTTCCTTTACGCTGAAGCGTTGTCGCCTTAATGCGTGCAAAAAAAGAGAAAGAATCACGTGACATAAACATTAACTCTACTGCACACCCACATTGTATATAGTCCGAAGCATATAACCCTTTGTGTGCTTCTTACATTGTAGACAATCATCAATTGAAAAATGTGACGCATCATAGCAGCTATAAATGACTTGTATAAAACGCGATTAAAAGAAGAATTTTGAGTTTGGATTTACCTGATGTCGAAGGTCTTCTTGTTATTTCGTAGCCGAACAACGTTCTCTTTGTGTATCGCTGCGCGGGGGAAACCCAGACAATAGAACCCGTCACAGGCTACCCTTGGACTGAATGTTAAACCCGTCAGGAGTTGTGTTGTGTACATCACAAGCGTAGGTTTAAGAGTCGTAGATTTCTTCAACCGTACGCCAACTCATTTCGTGTGTTGGTACGGAATTCTTCGTATTGATATTATTCATGTCCATTTTAAAAGCCCAATCCAAAGTTACAGAGTTGATATTACGCTCGTGCATTACGCTTCGCACTCTGCCCCTCTAAACCGCTGTTCAATACGCTAATACGGACATCTCGATTAATTCAACGTGACGAATATTTCCGAAAACTTAAAGTAAAGAGCGACGTTGGCAACCAGTCCAAAACTCTCTGAAACCATTGACGTTATCTTTCAAACTTTCACTGGAAAATTTAAATCTGAAGCTAACCTACATTAGGCAAAGTAAGACAGAAAAGAACTCGGAGGCTTTAGAATAAGATGAGTTTAAAAAGGGTACATTTTTTAAACATCTTCTAGAAGTGGAACTTTGTACACTTCTATACCAAGTCGTAACAATCTTAAGTAATCGATCAATCGAGCTCTGTTTGATAAAAAGTGAAGTAATAAAAACAATTGAGAAGTCACAGACGTTCTTTTCAAAGCGTCATGACCGACTCGGCAGAGCGTGGAGTTTCGTGTTTCTTGTTACCGTACGTTCCCGATACCTGTTGCTAAAGATACCTCTTTAATTCACAATACCAATACTTTCGAAAGTGAAAGAGGAAAAACCTTAACGAGAAATTCTAAATCTAGTTTTAAATTATTGTTGAATTAGCTATATTTGTAATTATCGCTAATGAATGGCTAAATGCATATGCTAAAATTCTTAGCGTTCCAATAGACGCTGCTCTTCGTTCAGTTTCACACAAGTCGCGCTTTCACATCACTGGCACTCGAGCGTTGGCGATAGTCGTAACTCAATACATTTGTAATCAATTGCTGAACATTTGGTGATGCTTGTGTAAAGGTTACCATGCTGTTTTGATAGCCATTAATATTTGCCATGGCAAAACCCAGGCCGACCATGCCATGTGTAGGGGTAGAAACGAAAGCACCGTACATTCTCTGTCCGACTTCCACCGCCATAAAGCGTCGTTCCATTATTGCGTAGAGGAGAACGCCAAGAGAGAACACGTCGGATTTTTCGGTGTAGTGGCCAGCAAAAACCTCTGGAGCCATGTAGTGAAGAGTACCTACACCCGTTTGCATGTAGTACTGTGCATCGCTGAGCCCCGCGTTGCTTTGTTTGAGAGCGATGTACTTCCGGGCCAAGCCAAAGTCGGCGAGCTTTATATCCTCTTTGACTTGATCCGTTAGAAGCACATTCTCTGGCTTCAGATCGCGATGAACCGTGTTACGCGAGTGGAGGTAGGCCAAGGCATCAGCAATTTGACTCATCCACTTCAGATTCTTTTGAGGATCGTAACCCGGTCGAGCCAGCCGATCATTCAAATTTCCACCTGAGCAGTATTCCATCAAAATCAGCACGTGTGTTTTTTCCACATCGATTGACTTATCTGCTGCTATTAGTTTGATGATGTTGGGATGAGAAAGCGCGCGGAGTGTCTTGATTTCTTCCAGGGCGCTCTTAACAGCAGTGGGATCAGTTTGGCAGGCGATGTCTTTCAATGCAAATAACTCGGCAGTGTCGGCATCCCTGACAAGTGTAACAGTACCGAAACCACCTTCACCAAGAACTCGCTCAGTCTTATAGTACTTTCCCGAGACACGAAGTAAAGCCATTGCAAAGATTTTTGTTTCTCGAAGGACTTGCTAATTGTTGGAGACAGTTTTTTAATCTGACTATAACGGAAAAAATTGGCCGATTTCTCATAAACGTGTAGCGATAATGAATCTTGAATTTCTTAGAAAGAGCAGCGTTTTGGTTTCCTTTGTCTCTCGCTCATCAGACTGCCTATTGGCTATTATCCAAGAGGAACACTGTTCCCGTATGTACTGCGCCGCTCCCTTTTTGAGGCCGAGGAGATGGGAAGCGACATGGGACCGAGAATTCATGTTTTCACAATTTGCAGGCAGTCTATGATTTTGTCTGCAGTGTTTTCATACAGAGCTTTGCGTCCTGATCACCTTGATACATTTGGCGCGCGGCCCGGAGCACGGACTGGGACATTTGCCGCGGAGCCAAAAAGAACTGCGGTTCCTTCGAATGTCTATGTATGGAGATCGTTGTAAATGTGGTGAATTTTACCAATTTCAAATCCTTTGGCGGCCTCACTGGAGCTATGATTTACAGCAAGAATATTATTTTTGAGGTCGGCGTTGATGTCGTAGTTCCAAAGCGTTTCAACATAAAACTCTTGTGATAGAAAGGAGGCTATAAAAATACTGCCATAAAAAAACACCCCTTGGGGAAAAAAAGCAGGAGATCTTTAGAGTTCCAAGATATGCTGTTCTTTGCACTGTTTCGCTTATATACTGAAGTCATACCAAGCGACCTCTTGGTCACACTAACATGTCAAACATATCAATGGCTCTCATACGCTGGTGATGGTCGCGACTCAATGCATTAAGAATCAAACCTTGAAGGTATGGTGTTGCTCGTGTGAAGGAATTAAGGGTAGCACGATAGGTGGATAGCAATTTGCCATGGCCATACCCAGGGCGACCGGGCCATACAGCGGTATAGCGTTAGGAACGGATGCACCGTACATTCTCTTTCCGTTTGCCTCCTGCATAAAGCGTCGTTCAATTATTGGGTAGAAGAGAACGCCAAGAGAGAACATGTCAGATGCTTCGGTGTAGTGGCCTCTAAAAACCTCGTTCCCAGGGCCCTGGGAACGAGGTTGCTTGATACATCTGGCGCACTTTCCGGAATGAATGGAGATCGTTGCACATGTCAATAAATCTCACTAATTGCAAATCTTTTAGCGGCCAAACTGCAGCCATGATTTACAGTAAGAACATTTTTTATTTCAGCGTTGATGTCGCTGGTCCTTTGTGTTTCAGCGGTAGCAGCCCGAGCCCTTGTCTGCTCGCGGGATAAAATCCTGGCGATACCGCGAGGAGAATGGTGAGTAGTCAAGTCAGCTCCTTTGCGCGCTGTTGCAAACAGCTCACTTCAGTTGACTCTCGAGCATGTGTAGACATCTCTGACTGTAATCTCATCGATCTTCGTTTAAAACTCATACCGCATTTAGTAAATCAGGTGATGAACTCCTGATTAAATCAAAAGCAAGAATAAGGCAAACTTGTCTGCAAACTTGACTTTTTGATATGACCAGGAGCGTATCACCTTGTCAAGGTGATAAGCTTCTGATATGACCGATGGCATGATCAATAAAGGATGATTATCACATGAATCATGGAAATCTGATCGGCTACAAGGCCTTGATGTTCGAGTCTATTTTAAAACTACTGTATTTTTAAATTTAGTAACAAGACTACAAGAGCCGGCCACCAAGAAGGCGTGGGAAGCCTTATGTCATGACTTGTTCATAAGACACCTCTTCGGAAACTTGCACTGAATATTAGTCAACTTTTCTTCATTTTTTGGGAGCCATGTTTTGTTTTCAGCCATATCCTTTTGAAGATTTTTACTTTCAAATGTTGCGTTACTAAAGTAACGAAGCTTATTTATAGAAACCTGCTAATTTGGCTCGAAAATATATTAAATTTCAGGAAAACATTCATTTACTATTTTGAACTCCAGTGAAAAAAATAAGATAATTCGTCCTTACACCTGTATAAAAGCCCGAGGAAATCGAAAGACAGGGTTTTATTTACTAGAGCATTCACTCATAACAATAAGTGTAAAACGATTGGCCGACTGCTTTTAAAGGTTTGGCCTGGAAATTTATGCAGAGCGTTTACTTCACCGTGACACTCCTACTTGTGACGGCCGAAACTCTGTCGCTCAGTGATGGCGTCCGCTCCACCTGGAAGTGGCAGTAAAGTTGAAGACGAATCCAAAGGCAAGTTCTGTTTTAATTCAGTCATTTATAATTGTTACCTCGCCGCCTAATTGAATTTGTTAATACTTTCAAATTTGAAAAGTTTCTAGTCACGTTCGATTATATCATGAGCTTAAAATTATCTTCAGTTCAGTTATCGATAAATTGTAATAACCGACCCTCCACATCTTCTTGTAAAGCTCTTGTACAGTTATATGGTGTCACAGGTGCTCGTACTAAAGCTGTAAAGCGTAGGGTTAGTACACACGGACGCAGTTTCTCTACGTGTAACTCCACTTAACTGAACTACTGAACCATGCAGTCTGAGGAAGGAATTTTAAACTTTAAAATAAACATTTTTGTTTACAAGTAGAACGTGCGATAAGAGTTCAAGACTCTAGCGAAGGATAATGTGAGATTTTTAAAGCTCTTTGAAGTTCCCAAGCATGGCTTTCAATATTTCTAGACTCTGCAGAAGGATAAGTTGCAGTTTTGGCGAAAGCTCCCAATATTCGCTTGTATCGTTACCACTGACACATATTTCCTCAAAAGTGATGTTTCTATGGTCAACAGACTTCAGTGATCAGATGCTTCCACCTAAATTTAGGCTTTCCCTTAGCTCCAGTTTGTTTCCTTCCAACTGGAATGAATTGTCAGTAGAGTCTACGT